ACCCTCCGCGCGCCTTCTCCAGGGAGGGGGTGGGGCGGAGCCACCCGCGGATTGGCCGGTGGGCTGTGATAGACAGCACGCCTGTCCCGCCCTCAAAGTGCGTTGCGTGGGGCGGTAGCTGCGAAGACTGGAGCCGCGTGCATCCCCCGCCCTACCCCCCGGGGCTAGTAGCGTGGCCTTCGTGGACCCCTTCATTTCAAGAAGTCTCCCAGGCGTAAGAATATCCATCAGGGCGAGTAGAACCTCGGCCGCGCTGGCTGGAGGCCTCACAGGCGCAGTTGTCTTCGCGGCTATGAGCTGCTGCCTGCTCCACCACACTCTTGGTACCCGCGCTGTAGGACTCAGCCCCCACTTATTTCACCCCGACCACAGACACTCCTGAACTTTGGTTTTTCCTGCCCTGTTTTGCCTTCTTCACTGACCTTCCTTCGCGGCCTTGGGTCAGTTCCTAAGACAGTTTGACCTTTCCCATGGCTTCGCCCTCTTTGCAGACATAATAGTCTCTCTAAACCTAGCTTTCCACTACACTCCGTGCCCAGACAACCCCATTACCTGCTTCACATACCCTCAACACAGCCGTCTCACCTGTCCTCCATGTCTCCTTGTGGTCTTCACGTCTCAGAACCTGACCCTGAACTTCTCCAAGTTGCTGAGGCCCCATGCCTTTCAGATAGCCTTGCTTCCTTCACCCTGTCTCATCCCCAGGTGAATACGAGGCCTCATCGCTTTGCCTTGGATCTGCTTTCACCCAGACTATTTACCCTCATTGGTTTTTGCCTGCATCTGTGTGCCCTGGTTTAATTCCTAAAACCAGATGTAGTCATGATTCCCTGCCTACTGGCATGAGCTTCCACTGGGCCTAAAACCCCCGCCCTGCCTGGCCCTGTGGGTCCTTTCTGACCTGGTCTAGACTTGTGTCTCACTCTTCGCCTCACACCACTGACCCTTCACTCTCCAAAGGCTGTGAGTCCTTTTTGCATTGAATAATTCATTGTCTTTTCCTTCCAAAGCCGTCCCCTGAACAGCAGTATGAAAACTGAGGACATGGGTGACCATGGTGGAGCCCGTCTGACAGACATTCAGCCAGGCAGTGTGGAACAACTTACTGCATGTCAGAGGTGAGAGGTCGCACAGAGCATCCAACTGGTGCGAGAGAAAAAAAAAATCAAGGTTTTTTTGGGATTTATGAGACTGGAATTTGTGTGTGAGAGCGTGTATTGAGGCAGCTCACCAGATTGAACAGGGACTACTACAAGCCAGTGGGGCTGTCTCTGACTTTGTCTTGCTGTAGTGGCACCTTTTGAGTATGTTTTGATTCTCTCAAGTGCAGCCCCTAAGAAGTTCAGGATTTCTTGCCTGGCAAGCACAAGATCCTAAATTCAGTCCCTGGTTGGGGAGGGGAGGGAGATTCAGGACTCAATGTGATACCCGGGCACTCTGTGCTGAGGGGAGGTGGGGTTGCTGAGGACTGCCACCTAGTGACAAGCCTGTAAAGTGGGCCCAGAGGAACTAATTTGACCCAGTACTACAAGTGTCCATATGTGGTCACACCTGATTTTCATAACTCTAATCAAGGATGATGGTGCCCTATTTACTGATGGAGAAACAAAGATTCACAGTTCTACACCTTACTCCAAGGCCATACTATGAACAAGTGGGGTTTTTTTTGTTTGTTTGTTTTGTCTTTTAAGGCAGGGGAACTCACACGTATACTTCTACCTCAGCCTTCTGAGTGCCGGGATTACAGGAAAGCACCACCATGCCTGGCACTAACAAGCAGATACTTGAGCCCACATCTGTCTGACTCCGTGCATTTCTGTCTCCTGGGAGAGCCACTGGCTTAGATAAGTCCTCATGGTCTTGAAGCTAGCTGGCTCATTGGTACAGGAGAGGGGAGGCATGCCCACAACTGGCTGTAGTCACAGGAAACCCAGCAGAACATGGGTGCTCACAGAGTCTGGTTTATACTGGTTTAAAGTGGTACTACTCCTGCAACCCATTATATAAAGCCAATTGTGACCAGGGCTATGGCGAAAAAGACCGAGGGCTATCAGTAAAATGTAGTAGAAGACCTACTTCATGTGACGTAGACAAGGCAGATCTCTTTAACTCCTTAGGACCCAGCAGAAGCATAAAGCATGTGAGTAAATGGCCAGGTAAATTATGAAGCATAAGTTGCAGGGATAATAGCAGGTACAACAGCCCGGAGGCCAGAAAGAGGTTGTTGCCCTTAGGGGTGGGAAAAGCTGGTGTGTATCCAGTGTGGGGGAGGCCAGGGAGGGTGATGAGGCCCCTAAGGCTGGTGGGGCTGAGTGGGGCTCTCCTTGCCTGCCCAATTTCCTCCAGCTTTTCTGGAGGACTCTTCCTGAGTGCTGCAGTCCTCACTGAGCCAACTCCAGGAGGCTGCAATCTGCAGTGCACTTTTAAAATCTGTTTTTCTATTTTCTGAGAACTTCCCAACACGAAGCCCAAACTTCTTTGTGTTTACTCTTGCCTCTGGGGCTCCAGAAATCCCTGCACTTACAACAGCTTGAGCTTTCAGTCCATTTCCAGGCCTGTAATCAGGAAGCAGGGCCCACTTCCTCTTGGGACTTTCTGGGCACCATCCCAGGCCTCAGGTACCTCCTTCCACTATAGGAGGTTCAGGAAAAAGAGGGCGCACAGAGCGGGTGTGGCCTATGTGGGCTTTCCCCAGCTCAGCATATATATGGTTGTGTAGGTGTTGCTGGCAGTTCATGCAGCTGTGCTGTCTGGGAGGAGCAGCTCAGCACCCACATGAGGCATATGCCTGTGACATCACCAGGCTAGCCCTGCGTGGGCCTGTTTCTGTGAACATTTGGTGTACTAACATGCCATACCATGTCTGTGCCTGAGTCTGGGGAGAGGCCCAGCCTAGCTACGCCTCGGGTCTGTGTGCTTGGTCTCACAACTGTTATTTAATAACCACTTGGAGTGGTAGTTGGCATACTGTAAATACTCTATAACTTGCTTTATCCACATTGGCTCATTTCTTCCTCATTACAGCTGTGTAAGACAAGTACTCTTATTATCTCCATATAACAGAAGAGAAAACTAAGGTCCAGAGAGATTAAGGAACATGCCCATTGTCACACAGCTAATAGGTGGCAGCCTGGCTCTAGATTCACTGCTATGTTGCCTCCTGTTTACATTTGAACACTTTATTGTGTATCTTTTATCCCTTTCCAAAATATCCCTGCCCGATGTGTTCTCTGTTTTTAGTTATTTTGTTCAGTGTTCCCAAGGCTGGCTTCTTTGGGAAGCAGTCTGTCTGGTCAGCGTGTGCTGCTTATCAGGGATCGGCACTGTGGAGGGGACAGGAAGGAAACAGTGGGCACTGGCAAGGGAGTGGGGATGAAGGTGTGATGCAGCACTGATGACAGTTTAAGCCGAGCTGAAGGAGCTCTGTTGTCAGACATTGGCCTGAAAGGGATGCAGCTTGTTCTGGGAAGAGCCCAGCCTTGGCCTCACGGCTCTCCGTAGCTGAGGTGATCTGGGGGACTGGCAGCCGAAGGTTTTCTACTGACAGCTCTCCCAACAGGTGGGCAAGTCTTTCCTTAAATGGGGATCTGGGTGGTACCACAAATGTATTATTGTGCTCACCACAAATGTATTATTTTCCAGCCCTTAAAAAAAAAGCTTAGATTACTTAAAAACAAAGAACAAAAATACTGTGTTATACAAATGGGGCATAGGATTATGAAAAGAGAATTATGCTATAGTTAATACGGGTTAATGTAGTTGCTGTGATTGACAATCAAATGTGGCTGAGCTTTGATAGCCAAAGCAGTAACAGTTTCTATTCTGATAATTGATTTCATGGCGAATATAATTTTCCTGGGTTTAACTTGTAAGAGAAGTTTCTTACAAGGATACTTATTTGACTTAAATAATGGAGAATGTTCTCAACAGATTAATAGCAAATGCTAACTCAGTTTTCATTTGTTCGTTATGATCTTTGCCATTTTGAGATGGGATCTCATTGTAATCCTCCTGTCTCAGTCTTTTGATTCCTTATAAAGATCTTGAGTGAATAAAGAAGGCATAATTTATTAAAAAGTATAATTAGTGAAATTCCTCCAACAAAAAAAGGTGTATTAATAGACATGCAGTGTCTAATTTGTAGTTTGGTTGTTTTGTTTTGGTAACAGGGATTGAACTCGGGTCCCTGCACTTGCAAGGCAGGCGGCAGAACCATTGAGCTAAATCCGCGGCCTGCAGTGTCTGATTTGATCCATGCCTAACCCTGAGTTTGTTTTCTTTAAACAGTCTTTTCAAAACTCAGTTTCTTGTGTTCCATGTCTAAGGAGCCCTTCAGCACAGAGACAGGACTTTAAAAGAAAGTGTTCACCTCTGCATACCTGAGCTCTACCCCAACCTGTAATCTAGGTTCTTGATCTCTGGCCTTCAAATCTATGGTTCCAACTTAGTTGCTGGGGCTCACACTTCTAAGTCCTCTCCTCCAGAGTCAGGACCTCCAGCTTTTCCGCACCTGGGATATGTATTTTCAGTCCCTCAAGAGGCCCTGTTTTCTTACTTGAGCCAAAACCTGACCTAGCCCCATAGCTTGCAGGGATTCTCCTCTCCCCACTGACTGACCCCATTGAGGCTGTTCAGCAGGAGGAGAGCAGATTACTGTGTGCACTTCGCTGAGGTCAAGAATGCCACCAAAGGACAAGAAGGGGAAACCAAGGGCAGGGTGGACCTGCTTTTGCCTCTCCCTTCCTTCTAGCAAACAGTCCTCATGCAGCTAAGACAGCAAGGCCAAACTGGACCAACTCGCCCCATCAAGAGTAGGTACTGAAATGCCAGCAGCCCATGCTGATTGCATGTGCTAAGGGCCTGGGAGCACTGAGAAGCAACACGTGGCCTTAGCTAGATCTGTTGGTGGCTGTGGGGACAGAGCAAAGTGAGATCTGTAAATGCCTTAGCAACCCCTTCCAAGTAGGCCAACACTCATTTTCAGAATAAGGTCATGCCAAAGGGGTCAGTGGGAATGTTTTGCAGCTAAAATGCCAACATTATTAGAAAGGAACTTTTAAGGGCCAGGGATTAAACTCAGTGGTTCTGCCACCTGCCTCGCAAGCCCAAGGACCCAAGTTTGATCCCTGGTACCAAAAAAAAAAAAAGAAATGAATTTTTAAAATGTCCATATATGCTTACTTGGTAACACATATACTTACATTATTTAAAACAATTTATTCATGATTTTCTTTCACATTTCCAGTAATTAAACTTTTTTCATTAATTGATTTCTATATATTTTCAAAAGAGCTACTTTTTGAATTATCTTAATATTTTCTTAAGTACATTACCTTCATTGCCAAGTTGAGCCATTTCAAAAAATTAACTTTATTAACAACTTACATGTAAAATGAATCATTTTTTGGGGGGGGGCACTGTGGATTGAACTTGGGACCTTGTGCTTGCGAGGCAGGCGGCAGAAACACTGAGCAAATCCCCAGCCCAATGCATCAATATTTATAGTTTGATGAGCCTTTTTTTCTCCCAGTCTGGCAGTGCTAGGGATCCGACCTCAGCTCAATCACTGAGCTACATCCTTGTACTTCACGTAAAAAATTTTAAGACAAGCTGGGCGAGGTGGCACACACCTGTAATCCCAGCACTCGGGAGGCTGAGACAGGAGGACTGCTGTGAGTTCGAGACCAGCCTGGGCTACACAGTGAGTTCCAGGTCAGTCTCAACTATGTAGTGAGACCCTGTCTCAACCCCCCCGCCCACAAAAAAACTTTAAGACAAGGTCTTGCCAGCCTGGCTTTAACCCTTGATCTTCCTGCCTCTACCACCAGAGTAGCTGGAGTCAGAGTAGTGAACCACTGCTGCAGTTAAATTTCCTATGCTCTGACAAATGTTTTCCTTTGTGACCTCTACAAAATCAGTATGCAGAACATTTCCATCACCCTAAGGTCCGCCCCCGCCCTTTTTTTTAGTACAGGAGATTGAACCTTCACACTGACCTGCATCCTAGCCCTTTTTATTTTTTGAGACAAGGAAGGTCTAAGTTCCCCAGTTGGGAATCAAACTTTTGATCCTCCTGCCTCAGCCTCCCTGGAGTCCTAAGATTACAGCTGTGTGTCACCACACCTGGCTAACACCCCAGGTTTTTTGGCTCTCCTTTGCAGTTATATTTCCCAACTCCTATCCAGCAACCACACTTATTACTACAGGTGAGTTTTGCCTATTCTGATATTTCATTTAAATGGAATTAGAGCATATGTTTCTGTATCCAAGTATGCTTAGCACATTTTTGAGATTCATCCACAATGTTGCAGAAGTGCTATGTGATGTGTATCAGTGGAAATTTTAATCTAAGGATAATTACCTTTGTGTGTAACATTAAAATAAGTTTTTTTTTCTATTTCTCCTGTATCTATATCTATATATAAACCACCTTCATAAAACATTTATCACGATAAATGTTTTACAGTCTCAAATGTATACAAATGTAGACAGAATAGTAAGTATAGTGAACTTCCATCATCCAGCCTCAGCAGTTATGTTTTTGTTTTCATTTTTGCTGTGCTGATCAGATCAAGGGCCTCACGCATGGTGGGCAAACACTCTACCACTGAGTCACATACCCTGCCAAGCTTCGGTAATTATGGCCACTCATGGCCAATCTTCTTTCATGCCAAACGCTACTCACTAAATCCTTCCTGTATTGACACAAATCTCAACTGTCATATTAACCATAAATATTTGTGTTTTCAAAAAAAGATTTTTAAAAATATATACATTCTGTACATAAGTATAGCCTTTAAAAGTCTTACTTAGTGAACTTTAAGAGGCTTGTTTACTCTTAATACTGAAGGATTGTGAGAAATAATTACCATGTTAAATTTCAGTACTTGTTTACCAATTTTGTCAGTGGACTACTTATAAGCATCCAAAACTAGCCTGACTGAGGTCATTTCGGGGTAATGTTTTCTCCAAAAAGTGCTTTTGGTTCAAAACAAGTTGAGTTTGCCCTTGTATGAGGAAATTTGCAAGGTCTGAAATGAGACAAGGTCAAGGCCGCCTGGTTTGCAGGCTGGGGACTGAATGGACACAGTGCCTTTTACTCCAGGCCCAGCAGGCGGGGAGTCACAGGCCCCAAGTCCTGTTCTGCATACGCTAAGACTCTGGTCCCTGTGGACAACCCCTGCAGAGCTACAGTCGGCAGAGTGTTCATTGCTTAGGACGTGCCTGGGCAGAGAAAGGGACACAGTCTACACCTAAAATTGTGACTGGGATTGGCCAGGTCACGTGAGATCGTGGCACCTAACAACCTGCTATTAAGAGGTGACTCAGCAACAGCCTGGTATGATAGTGAAAGCAGGAGCTGGTGATGTTGTGAGAGTCAGGTGTTTTTGGAAGGCAGTGGTCACATCGCATGAGATTCCTTTGTCGTGAAATATCTAGAAAAGACTATTTTAAAGAGAAACTAGGCTGCATGTGGAAATAAAGATTAACTATAAATGGAGATAAGGGACTTTAATGGAGGGGAGGGTCTAAAACTGATTTGTGGTGAGAGATGCACCAGTTAAGTTACTAAAATCATTATACACTTAAACTGTTGGATTATTTGTAAAACTTCAATAGGAGTACATAAAAGGAGTGGTCAACAGCATCTAGTGCCACGAATTGCTTAAGCTAGATGCAAAATTAGGAGTCCATTTATTGTTCTGGTCACTTAGTTATTTGTGATTGTGGTTAGAGTACAGGAAGGAACTAGAGCAGAAGGGACAGAAGCTAGCTCTGGTAGGTGGGAGTGACTGGGTGATGACTCATGGCAGGTGCTTGTTTGTGAAATGGAGGAAAAGAGGTGGCAGCTGGAAAGGGCTGGGGATTGTGGTTTTTTGTTTTTCACAGTACTGGGGATTGAACTAGAGGTCTTCACACGGAGCTACATTACATTCCCACCCCTTTTCACTCTATGATCTGCCTGCATCAGCCTCCCAGAGTGCTGGGATTACAGGCATGCGCAAGCGGCAATGCCCAGCTCCTTTCCTGCCTTCCTTCTCTGTACCCCACCTTTCTTTTTAAAGTGGCAAAAGCCTAAGGTAGAATGAATAAAACTTGCTGACCAGATGTAGGGGAGTGAGGAAATAGAGCCAAGGCAGCACCCAGATGTCTGGCGTGGGTAGCACATGGAAACGGCACCCCCCCACAAGGAGGACTCTGGCAGCATGCAAAGACTTGACACAGGTTTTCTCAGGCCTTGCACATCTGGCCTCTGAGTTGAGAGGTGCTGGATGATTAAGCAAAGGTTAGGTTTACACCTCACTCTTCAGGCTCTCTCAAGGCCCTTTATACATAGCCCCCACCTCTTACCTGTCCAGCTTCTTCTCTAGTTCCCTGGCTTTACTCTTCTAAGCCTTCCACACTGCCTGGGGTGCCCATTCAGTTGTCTTGATCATCATGTAGTTGCTGAGCCTATCAGACTTAAAGGAGGTCCCTGCCATAAAGGTAAGCACTACTGCCTCCTCAAGGTCTTCTGTCTATAGGGCCTATTGTACCTGAGTTCTAATTGTGGACAGTGGTTTAGCCCCTGGTTGTGTCAAGGTCCTACTCAAGTCCTAGATCCTGGAACTTTTTGTTTTGAGACAGGGTCTGGCCATATAGTTCAGACTAGCCTTGAACTGTGTAGCCCAGGCTGGCCTGGAACCCAGGGGAGCCCTCCTGCCTTAGCCTCCCAAGTGCTGGGGATTACAAGCATGGTCACATCTGGCTGAGATCCACTTTCTTGTCACACATCTGTCAGCCATATTCTTTACCGGTTGCTACTATACCTTACAAACTGGTTCAGTCACCTCAACACCACACAACGGGTTGCAATCTCTTCAAAGAAATGATGGCTCTATGGCTTCCTTTAATTCTCTGTGGTGAGTGCTGCCTCCCTCAATGACCAATGAAATACAGGCTGCTGAAGATATATCCCCAGTATTCTCTGTGGAAGGCCCAGCACCAGCCCTGCCTCCTGCCTCAGGAAAAACAATCAAGGAGATCCCCCTAAATACATTCACAGGATAGAGGGGGCCCAGGGCTCTTTCAATGAATGACTTATTCTTACCACTTTGGCCTTCCTGCTCTCTTTGACTTGGAGACCTCAACTTGCATGGAACTCGATACCTTACTATAAACTAGTGGGGAATACTATAACCCTATTGTGGGGAATAAGGCTAGCCAGGGTACTCAGAGCACTCAGAAATGGTTATAAACCACACCCTCTTTCACCAGCCAATCAATGCAAGAAATTTTCATACCACCTGGGAGAGGCTTCTGGGATCTGATACTCTAATGATACTCTTAATTATTTCCATCCAGGCCATAGGCTCAGTCACATAAATCCAAAAAAGCTACCTTATGCTTTGGACCAACACACATGGCAAGGTCTCCAGAAATCTGCCTCCCCAGTACTCTTACCTACACTAGGTTTCAGACACAGTTCTTCCATCAGACCTGTTCTTGTGGTTGTTCTATACCCTCCATCTGGGCCTGTTTGATCCCCCTTTCACCCTATACTCACCATAGTAGGCCAGATGCACCCCCTTTTAAAATCAGGCTCAGTCCTATCTGCTTCTGAGGAGGGACCCATCCTTGTTGACCCCAGTGGTCAGACCACATTCCACATTAAGTCCCAGGCCTTTGGTAACAAATACTCGGACACTTAAGTTTCCATTAAGTTGTAGGAATTTATTTTAAATAACCTACAGTTGATTAAAAGGGAATTCATGATAAAAATAGAAGATACTTGAGGAAAGATGTGGGAAATGGACTCTGCACTCACTAAACTAACAATGCCTCTAAAACTAATGATTATAGCAAAAAATGTTTTCACATTAAAATTCTGCTTTTTATGTTTTTCCCCATTTTTTACACAATTACAAAAGAAAAAAAATAAAAGCCCTAAAATCTTGATTATTTTTCTTCTTTTGGGCCAAATACTCATTTTCCTCTAAATTTATTGACCTGTGGACCTTTTCATACAATAAAATTTTTCAAGTGAAAGACCAGGGTTTGAAAAGAAAAAAAGATGGATTTTTAAAGGGTACAGAGGATGCTCTGAACAAAGAATGATGGGAAAATGGTTTCATTCATTGATTATTTCATTATCCGTAGAGACTCACTCACCCTTCATCCCTCCCCTACCCCAATTTACACGATCTTTAAGATCAAGAAAAAGGTTTAAATATTTTAAAATAATTAAAAAAAAATAAAAATTCACATTTAAAAAGGAACACTCAAGTCAGGAAGTATTTTCCCATCATGCTTTTCTGTGAACAGGTGTCTGAACCAAAACACTGCCAATGTCACGACTGCTTCAAGTCTAATGAAAACTGATTCCCATGACAATAGAGTGATGACTCTAATAGGTGCGCTGGGTTTTTGTTCTACTTAATTTTAAATTCCTGAAATGGGGGAGAGGGGAGGGAGTTTAGGAATTCGTTTCTATTAAAATATAGAAGTTATTGCAAAACCCTAACTGTAAAAACGCACCAATATATCGGACTTCGCATACAGTAGCTAAGAGAATCCAAACGCTTCAGTGAAACAGTGAATTTGCCTGGCAGAATGCTGACAAATCCCCATTCACTTGCCCCCTTGAAAATAAAAAACAAAATTCAAAACAAATCATACAGCTAGAATTTTGATATCTGAAATATTTTTAAATAAGTTGTCCATAGGACAACTGGCTCAGCTCTCCCTTATAGTATCTCCAGGTTTATCTTTTCGCAAAGATGTTGGTTAAGACTTGCTGCCTCTTTCCCTCAGGCACGAGGGCAAGTGAGGCTCACAGTTTATCCATCTTCCCCAAACCACTGTTCCTTTTCACAGAACCCTGCCCCTTCAGACTGGTTAAAACTCGTAGTCCTCATCAGCCATGTCGATAGCCCAGGCAAACTTCTCCCGCTGGGTTTTGTTGTAAATTTTTTCAATTGGGACCCCCCACTTCTTGCACCTGAAAACAAAGAAGACAGAGGATTAGTGGGACTCAAGAGTCATGGCCCAGATCAGAAGTCTGGATTGGAGTGTGCTGCCATTTTCACATCTGTCTGGTGAGGATGAGAATTAATGGTGCATCCACCAGGCATGCTCCAACAGCATTGTTATCAATTTATTTAATCATGACACCCCCCTTTAAAGTAAGTGCTGCTACAGCTGTACAAAATGAAAAAACAGGGCTGGGGATTTAGCTCAGTGGTTTCACCGCCTGCCTTGCAAATGCAAGGTCCTGAGTTCAATCCCCAGTACCAAAACAAAACAAACCAAAAAAACCAAAAAAACACCAACAAAATGAAAAAGCATACAGGTAAAAAAGCAGGTACAGATGTTAAGTAATGATATCCTTGTATAGCTAATAAGTGCTAGAGTTTTAAATTTAACCTGAGCAGTTTGCCTACATTGTCATTTTTTTTTTTCTCTCGTACTTTTTTTTCCTTCATTTGTGAAAATTTCATTGAGGTTCAGTTAAGATACAGATGAATGGGCTCTCTTTTTTTTCTTCAATCCCAGCTTTTCAAAACAATATAAACACATTCAAAAGGAATAAAACAGGACTGACTCATTAAGACCATCTAGGATACTGCAATCCATTTGTGCACAAGGGTCAGCAAAAAGAGCACTAAGTATACAGCAGAAGCCGGAGATTTCCTCAAGAGAACTAGAAGTGTCCAGCTTAGGAATGGCATATGGAGGTGAACGATACTCTCAGAAACCCCTCTACCTTTCTCAAGCCAGCAGGAGCTCTAGAAAAATCTCAATGCCTACCAAGCCACTGTGATCCTAGGATCCAGATAATTGAGTTTGGAGGTTCCCAAGGCAATTTGCTTATTCTCCTCACGATCTGTGGCCTGAACTTCCAGCTTCATCAACTGCTCCTCCAGTCTCTGCACAGCCTTCTTCTTTGACTCTACTACCCTAGAAGAATGACAGTTATTAAAAAACAAGGCTGACCTCTGGACAAAAGCACACTGCAATTGTACTCTGACTCTTAGAAGTAGTAAACCCATAAAAGGTCCATGTAGAGATTTCCAAAAGACCAATCAGACATCTTAGCTGAGGGACCAGGGCCTGTGAGCAATGCTGCACAAACTTCTTCCTTTTAGCCAAACAACCCCTGACTTTACACAGTACCAGATACATACTTCTTGGTCTTTGCATCCTTCATGACTTTGGCATCAGCTTTAGCACTTTTCAGGTCCCTCCGAGCATCTGCAAGCTGATCCTTCTTGGCATCAATCTAGGTGGGGAAGAATAACAGTAAAGTCAAGAGAAATATGAACCAAAGACAAAACAGAAGGGCTCCATCAAAGATGGAGAAACCTGGAAATTGCCTCCATCAGGTAAGCTACTTCTCTCTGTGCTTTGTCCAGCAAATACACAAACTAGTACCCTCATGAAGACACAAAGGAGATATTACTGTGACTGCTGACTTCAGCTGCTTTTTCATTTACAACCTTCAGTGACTCTTGAAATGAAGGTTCTATTAAGGCAGTAATGTGAGCATGGGTGCTAATCTTTCAAAAAAGAACACTCTGGTATTAAGACTCCCCAAGAGGAGGGCTCAAATGACCAATGATTTATAACCAGACCCTGTGCCAGATTTTAAATATTGCATAACAAATTTCTTAGGTCACTGAGGCTTACAAAGCGAGCCCAGCTCATTCCTCTCACACTGCCAGCTGTCTGGGAAGGAATCACTATCTTCTTAAGAAGAAAGGATGCAGTGAAGGGAATATCCAAAAAACTACAATACATAGTGAGGCCTGACTTTGGCATTCTTTTTGGTTTTCTTTTTTCTTAAGGAGAGAAGTCTGAGGTGAAAAGGAAGTCTTGTGAAATCCATATCCATAAAGACAGGAAGTTCATCCTTTTAAGCTGGAATCCTTGAAGCACCACTGGAAAATCTCAGTTCCTCTTGGGATGCTGCTTACAGACAGCAGCAGATAATGCCATGGAGCTAAAGTTCCAACTAGTGAGGTCAAGTGGCTGAGGGGCAGAACAACACCATCCCTGTGGTTACCCTGCTCAAGAGAACCTCTCAGAGTAAATAATATGCTTGACTCAAACATTGGACTTCTGCTGAACCTAGAATTTTTGTTAGATACACAACCTAAGGTTGGAAACAGAGGCCACCACTGTAAAAGAATCTAGTATGTTTTACTATGAGTGGCTTACTTCCAACATCTATGTTATCCAAATCCAAACTAAAGGAACTGATTCTATACACAAAACCATCACAGATGCCACTAGCCAGATTCTTAGGCTAGAAATACAGCAAACCACAATCTTTTAACCATTTCTGTGAATGCTAAATTGGCAGGCTATGTCAAGTTCTCTAAAAGCATCCAAGATGCCATTGAATCACTTGGCAAATGTGTGTGTGTTTATTTTGTGGGCACATAGAGGGTTCCTGAGCTTGGAGGGCTCGTCAGACAGCCCGAGTAAGATGTAAATCTTACTCCATACAAAGTTTTTATTTATTTTTGGAGACCGGGTATGTGTGTAGTTCACTATGTAATTCAGGCTAGCCTAACACTATGGAGCCCAAACTGGGCTCAAACTTATGGCAATCCTTCTGCCTTAGCCTCCTGAATGCTGGGATTCTAGCTGTACACCACACCTGGCCGCACGGTAGTTTTTAAACTCCAGTTACCCAAGTACTGTACAGAATAACAGAAATGTACATAGAAAAAAAAATTAACCATATTCTCATTAATTTCTAGTTGACAATATTTCTTCATGTATAAATGTGGGCAACAAATCAAAGTAACATCAATAATACCTATGACTATTATGACTATTACTATAGATGTTACAGAATTTAAATTTTTTCCTATCATATTACAATGATTGCAGAAATATACTCATCATTGCCCTGAAATTTACAGTAATCCTTAGAACTACCTTAAGACATTTTTTCCCCCAGTGCCAAGAATGAAACCCAGGGCCTCATATGTTAGCCAAGTGCTCCACGACTGAGCTACACAGTTAGCCTCAAATTTTAATAAGGAAGCACAAGTATTCCTATACCAAACTTTAAAATATAATAGTTATATTTCAGTAATTGGTTTCCTTTGAAACCCTGTGTTTTGTTTAGTTAAAGTATCTGCAAATTCACTGTGGGCTAGCAAATTAGGATAAGTGAATTATGTAGTTACCGCTCAGACAGAAATGTTCATCAGAGTCAGAGGAGGACAAAGGCACGTGGAATTAGAATAGTATCACCTCGTTCACAGATCAAACTCTTCCCTCTGGGGCACAGCTTTGGCACACAGTCAATATTAAACAGATGTTTGATGATGAACTATATAAATGTGATTCAACTTTTAAAATTTAGAACAATGTAATTTGGAAATAGCTGCTTCTCTCTCTTCTGCAGCTCTGGAGATAAAACTGAGGGCCTCATGCAGGCTACATGAAGGCTCAACCACTAAGCTACACCCCCAGCTCTAGAAAAAGCTGTGCTTCTGGGATGTGGCAGCAAGACTCCTTTTATATCCATTTTCCTTGTACATAATAATGACAAGAATTACACTGAAATTAGCACTTCAAAATAGAAAGTGGTCAATGCTGAACTTCTGTCCACAATATTAAGATTGCTAAACAATGACTAACCTTGATTTTTTTAAAGCTCCTGACATTCTTAAGTATAGTATTGTCTCCATTTGTTTATCTTCAGTATGGACTTTTGCTCCAGAGCAGATCAAGACTGGTCTGCTGATACCTCACCCTAAAAGGCTGGATTACAAAAGCTTCTCATTTTAAACATCTTCCCACAATAGACAGTTCATTCTGCTACACCATTCACCAGGCACAGCATACCTTAGACTGCAAGTTCATCATAGACTTCTCAAAAGTTTTTGGTGGTGCCCTCTGATGGTTACAAAGAATTGCGACAGCTCGATTGGCACGGTTATAAGAGAGAATCTTTGCTGGAATGTTCTCATCCGCTATAGAGAAACAGGACAGTAAGAGAGTCAGTCTGTAGACCCAGAGCACATATGAAGTTTCTTCCCTAGTGCTTTATATCTTAGTCTCACTGAGATGATTGAAATTCTCCCTGGACACAAGGTCAAAATTTTAAAGTCCATGGTCGTAAGAAAATGACAGCAGTGGCCGGGGATTTATTTAGCTCAGTGGCACTGTGCCAGAGTTCGATCCCAGTACTGGGGGAAAAAAATTAAAAAGAAAATGACAGCAGGAATTTTTTTTTATGTAAGCCTAATCTGGATGAATTCCTATCACCGGAGGAATTTTTTTTTTTTTTTTTTTTTGAGATGACATGTCAGTGTCGCCTAGGTTAGTCCCAAACTGCTGGGGATCAAGTGATTCTTCTGCTTCATCCTCCCAAGTAGCTGGGACTACAGAGGCATGCACCATGCATGCAAGGTTTATCTCTGTAATATATTGTTTTAAATTTTTATTTCTCGTAATTGCAGTACATAATGATTACATTCATTGTGGGGAACTGATACTCATACATAACACATCTCCCTCCCTCCTTTTTTGGCCAGCATCAGCATCATTTATTTCTTGTAAGTTCTTATGCAAGTTAATTATACAAACACATTAACAATCAGACTAATAAGCCCCCCAAAAATATAAAACACTAGGCAATTATGCTAAGTCAAGGTACACTTTTAGATACACTGTTCATGCTGGATTACAATTACTTTCTTTTCCTCTCTCTTTTTTCCTATTATCTGGTTTATTTTCTACTTTATATATTGAGTTTCTCAAATAAGAGAATATTATAGGGTCAGGGATTTAGCTTACACTGTTCATGCTGGATTACAATTACTTTCTTTTCCTCTCTCTTTTTTCCTATTATCTGGTTTATTTTCTACTTTATATATTGAGTTTCTCAAATAAGAGAATATTATAGGGCCAGGGATTTAGCTAAATGGTGCTGCTGCCTGCCTTGCAAGTGCAAGGTCTGGTGTTCAATCCCGGGTACACCCCCACTCCAAAAAAGACAGAGAATATTATAGTGAAATGTGTACATTTCTTTTCACTCCAGGAGTCTGGCCAGGGAAATTTCTTCTTGCCTCATTTTCTACCTCTCACTTGCCTGTCCAATGTAACCCCAAAGAAAATATGGAATTGGGACAGAAGACTGTAGAGGAGAGAAAGATGAGGGGACTTTAAGGTTTGTATGTTCAAGTCACAAAGCAGTATTGCTGTCTAACAGGAAAAATTACAAATGCCATTCTAAGAAATTTTTTACTTATACTGTGTGGCATTATTTACCCCACACTAAACATACCCATTTCTGGCTTATCTGGTTCAAATTCTAAGACCATTTGACATATTTATAGAGAACAGTGGAAATTTATTAGTGACTAAGCCCCAAGGGGAAAAAAGCCTGTGGCTCTTGGTGACATCTTCTGTACCTACTGTTTAAAAGATTATTTACTCTTCTTGAGGGCAGGAAGGAGACGGAAATCTTAGGGAAAGGATTTGCTTCCATATTTTTTTGGTAGCCATGACAACTTTAATAGACTATCACAGCATTATGTCTTTACCCTGGGAGCTGTTAAATAACATATATACAGAACACAAAATGCAGGTATTTTTCAGAGCAGATGGAATGCTCCTGTTAACAGTCCATGAAATTAATCTAGAAATTGGGGTAGGAGTGAAAGAGCAGCAGCATATGTTTACACAACTAAGCCTTAACTCTCTGCTAGAGGCCTGCAGGGAAAAATTTCTCATCACAATGGTAGATAGAAAAGTATAACCAAAATAGGATTTATCCAAGGAAGGACACTGGCACCATCAGCAAGTGTGACCCTATGTGGCCAAGCAATACTTACGGGCTGTGAGTTCTTTTAGCTGCTGCTGTAGCGTGATGGAGGCATTGTATGTACGGAATACCTTGGCTGTTAAGCCCTCCATGAGATCCTGAAGGTGCTTATTTAGAATACCAGTCTGGAGAAGACAAAGCAACAGTAAGGACATGGGAACTGAGGTGAAAGCCACACCACGCCACCCACTCTGGCAAGTCCAGTGTAATCACAATCTTGTCAAGTTTACTGCCTTTCAAGTGGGAGGAAAGAGGGAAAATAATTCCAGAACATAGGATTGCACGATGCCTCCCTATAATGTATAATATGAAACCAGAAAGTACAACAAATTTGTTCTGCCACATATAAGGGGCAAATCTTTTTTCTTATCAGAAGTGACAAAGCATTCAGCCAATGGAAGGCTCTGTAGAAGATGGGAGAATAAAAAGAGTTGTCTACTCCATACTTTACGGCATTCATGGAGTCACTGTGTGCCCTGAGGGAGCAAGAGTACACAGAATGCCTAAGAAGAGGCTAGGCCAAAGAGAGAGCCCAAACCACTACCTGGCAGCCCTCTCCTTTAAAGTTTCTGAGGCTCTGCCTGGATGTCCCTTCAGCCAACCCAGTGTGCTTTGTCCACTCACATTAAGTCTATCAAAAAGATCATCTTCGGGCTGCTTGTTCTCCATAAATAGCTGCAAGTTCTTAAAAACCTAAAAAGAAATTAGTGAAGTCCAATTATTACTCTGTAAAACCTTTACTTTAGAAATAATTTCAAATTTTAAAAACTTGCAGAAAAAAGATACAAGAACTACCCATACATCCTTTAACAGATCCTTAACATAATTATCTGTTCTAAAGCATTTTTGGGTACTTACATTACAGTCCTTTACCCTAAGCATTTCAAAATGTGTCTCTTAAGAATAAAATCACTCCCTTACGTGAACATAGTACTTACCAGTTGCAAAAATTTATACTGGTACACATACTGTTGCCCACTAGGCTGGTTACTAAGGCCCTATACCAATGATGGTTAAACTTCTTAGAGCTTTGAATGACACAAACAGCTCTGTTGCAGCATGTGTGCCATAGGTTCACTGCCACTGCTATACTCTGTAAGTTTCTTGTTCAAGCATAATACTTTGAGAAAGATTAGGCTGAGGCTATAGTATATATAGCATCCTCTTCAGTCATGGACTCAAGATTTGGGAAATAAAGAGGTACCATTTTACTCAGTCAGAAGCTGTGTAAGATGTTCAAGGTCATAAATGTGCAACACGACCAAGGGATGGTGTGATATGGTTAAATCATTAAAACAGTGTGGCTAGGTTCAATCTTACATTGAATTTGCTGTAGGAGCCAACTCTCTTATGGCAGGCTCTTTGCCCCTCATTCTTTGGAAGGTGGCACAGGTTGGGGAACAGGGAATAAAAAAAGAAGTATATGGCACACCATGCAACACCCCTCCCCTCTCTCTCTCAAGTCAATTTTGCAAAGTGTCAAGGACACAAAAAATACTTAATGCTTGTTGTACTCATAAATAAATAAACAAGCCATGGAAAACACATAACTTACTCGTTTCTCAACTGGGACCTTGTTATAGTATCTAATTGAGTCCTTCCCAAGGAAGTCAAACTCAACCACGTATTCCTGACCATCCAATTCTGGGTGCAGGTTGATGTGCTCCACACGAAGTGAACAGCAGCCCACAGTGTCTGCTGTTTCTCCTTCTTCCTTCTCATTTCCTGCTCTAAGAGCAAGCTGCCAACAAACAAACAAACCATGAAGGAAGGAAAATGAACCTCATTCAGGAAATCCAAAACAGAAACCTTCCATTTCTCTCTGGGGATATATATAGTGCCAATCTGCACATCCTGAAAAGTAGATTTTGTGATGTCAATACTTCTATATACTCAACTTACAGATCCAAGCTTTGCTTTATTCTCCCCCCCCTTTACATTTTAATGGTACATTTAGGTATTCAATACAGTTACATTCAACATTGGGAACTTGTACCTTTAAATGATGTATCTTGGTTCTTATTTTTTTCCCATTATCCTGCCCTCCCTTCGACCCTTCCACCTCTTCCTATTTACAAAGACTGTTTTAATTTTTTCTTTTTCTCTTATTTTTTCCTTTCTCTATTCCATTCTTGAATATTGGGGATATAAGAAATAAAACTGTAGTGTGATAAATTAGTGGTTTATTTAACCCATTTCATGAGTTATAATTATTTCTAAAAGAATGTGATATAGTAACAGAGAACTCACTGCTCACAGTATGCTCATAGTAAAGCTAAGCACTGATTTGTGCAACTTTTGATTTGATTACAAAACACCAATTACTTTGTATGTTTGGTTGTGACATAAAGTAAATATTTTTCTTGTGAGTCATAGTTAAAAATTTAAAATCCGGGAGTGGTGGTGCACACCTGTAATCCCAGCACTCAGGAGGCTGAGGCAGGAGGATAGCTGTGAGTTCGAGACCAGCCTGGGCTACACAGTGAGTTCCAGGTCAGTCTCAACTATGTAGTGAGACCCTGTCTCAAAACAACAACAACAAAAAACCAAACAAAAACCAACCAAACAAACAAAAAAACCCCACAGTATTTCCAACACATTCAGATTCATGCCAGTCCTACTAGGCAGAACCCAGATAGCAGCACACAATATAATATGGATACCTATCTCTCCACAGCTACCTTCCATCCTAGATTGTACTTAATGTGAGCAAGAGGGTGGGTGTCAAGGTGTCACTGCTTCCCTTCATCTCCCAACACTTGTTACGGGGCTTGGGCAGAGAAGACACTCCTTACCTACATCTCTTCAGCTAAACTTTAAGCAGTGTTGACAGGAAGCTGGTCCTACCTTGTCAATGAAGTACAGTGCTACAGCTCTCTGCCGGACTTTCATCTCTTTGGACTTCCAATCTTCTCGATACTGGTTTCGGATCTTGTCCACACACTTCTTCAGCCGCCGAGCAGTCTCATATTTCTGCCAGTCTTTTTCACCCTGCAAAGACCCAACACCAAAGGCAGACTGCTTAGTGCTGGTGGAGTCAAGACTTTGAATATTCAAGTTCAGAGTTCTGAACCAAAGACCAGGAACTTGAGCTTAAATAAGGTTGAAAAAGCATAGAACTAAAGAGAAAGTCTGGGGCATTTAACACGATGAGAACACATGAAGTCTGTCCCACTTTCGTTATCAAGCACAACTAGCTCTTGTCTAGTTGCTACAAAAGCTTTTGCCTTTCATTCTGTGAAATGCTCATGATTTTAGGAAAAGCTTGTAAGGCATGTCTTAAAAATTGATTGACATCTGTCAACACACAGGTATAAACATCCACATTCCCTCATCAGCACCACAACCCTGCTGCCCAATCTGTGACCCAACAGCAGTTTTTGGCTAGCTCTGTCTTCCATCAAATTTCAACAATCATTCAGAGTTTGACGGAGCTGTTGAAGCAGAACCAAAGACAACATGCAATTACCAAGGAACACAATAACTTCCAGTAACAGCTATAATTATTCACCATTTTCTATCTTAGGCATTTAAAAGTGTACCTTGATTAGATTGAGTCAAGATTTTTGTTAAAAGAAATTTCAACATTAGAGTTTTTTTGTTTTTTGTTTTTTGTACCAGGGATTGAACTCCAGACCTTGACCTGCCGGGCAGGCACTATGAGCTATATCCCTGGCCCAACACTAGAGCTTTTGATGTAAGGTTTAAAAATTGATTCTGAAGCTAATGAAGGATTATTAAAATGTGTGACAAGGTTGAAACTTAAACAATAGAGAACAGTGAAAAGAACAATAGAGAACCATGTTGAGTGGAAATAGATGCAGACTCATAAGCAAGAGAGGACTCATTCATGTTAGTGAGAAAGGTGAAGGAGGAGGTTAAAGAAAACCAAAAAACAAAAAACTAAGACATCCTGCCGAGGCAAGGTATATTATAAAAGGCACAAAACAGACATGAGTGCAAGGGTTTGGAATTTTTTTGTTTTGTTTTTAGAAACAAGGTTTTGCTCTATAGTTAGGCAGGCCTGGAACTAACTCTCTGTGTCCAGGGTTGGGCTTGAACTTGTGATAGTTCTGGCTTCAGCCTCCTGAGTGCTGGAATTATAGGTGAGTGACACATCACCTGGCTCGGGAAAGGAATTTATGAATCCAAGAACTTCTGATTCCCTGACTCCACATCAAAGGAGAGAGAGAGAGTGATTTCTAATCACATATACTACCCTGGTTTCCACTGCATACATGGTCCTTGAGACCTAACAACTGTGGTCAAGTTTAATAGCCTCTGTGCATGCAGAGGCAGGGAGCAAGAAATATCCACCACTTCTAGATTCTAAAAAGTGGTCAGAAACTAAAGCTTATATGGGTATGCTAAAGAATCATCCACATTCTCTCACAAACATGTTTATGCACTTATGTTTATCTATAAAACAAGTGGTTGAGAAACTACATACTTTTGTGGGTGACTTTGTAGTTGGTAATGCAGAAGAAATACCTGTCTTTATTTTTTGCAGAGCTGAAAATTTCTCCAAGATTTTGTTAAGTATATTTTGACATCTAAGAGAGTGAAAAGGTAGGATATGAGGTGTCTTCACTTACAATCCAGTAGTGAACCTCTATGACAACTAATTGTTATACATTCATTCACAGAAAAAAAAAAAACTGGACAAGAAAGGCTCATGAATATACAGAATCCAGCCAGGAGTGACCTCTTCCCTGTCACTCCAATACACAAAGCCCACCTAAACCTGACTCAGAGTCTGCCTGGGTTGTATTTGCTCGGTTCCTTAGGCACACCACCAAAATCTAAGGCAGGAGTCAGGGAAACAAGGTTTACAAAAAGCCATGAAGTTAAGTCATTCACATAGGATACCCACTAAACCACCTCTTCTTCACAGGGTTGGCTGGGCTCCTGGAACAAAGATCCAAGATTCTCTTGAATAAGGACAGTGGAAGCAGAAGCTATCCCATCTAGATCTAGCAGAAGTCTGGCCTCCAAGAAGTATGTTTGACTCTGTTGCTTTAAGTGCCCCTGAACAGAGTCTACAGAGTATAATGCACTAGAACAACAGGCGGGTGGGGGATGGATCAATCTAGGTCTTTCAGGCAAGGAATCATCAAAAGCCTCTCAGGTTTATTAGAACTGGAATTTAAAAACAGGCATTTAGGGGCCAGGAATTTAGCTCAATGGTTCTGTTCCCTGCCTCACAAGTCGAAGGTCCTAAGTTCAATCCCCGGTACCAAAACCAACCAAACAATGAGCTATATCATAGCCTTTTCTTATTTTTGCAATAGAGTCTCACTAAGTCACAACTCAAACTTAAGATCTTTCTGCCTCAGCCTACAGAACAGTGCCACCATTCCAGCTCCAAGTAGTGTTCTATACATACCTATTTTAAGATGTTTTTGTTATTTATTTGTAAGGGTCTTCATATATTCTGAATACAAGTCCTTTCTTGAATATCAGTAGTCTAAGTATTCTAGTACTTCACTTAAAACTCTAAGCTATTCATCTTTCATTCTGAAAATTTTAACTTTAAAATTTTATACTATATAGGTTTTAAGTATATATAGTTGGATAAGTTCTGGCAATTCATACCTCCTATAACTTATACCCCCATGAAGATAGAGAAAATGATTTTTTTTTTCTTTTTGAGACAGGGTCTCACTATGACAGACCTGGAACTCACTATGTAGCCCAGGCTGGTCTCGAACTCACAGAGATCCTCCTGCCTCAGTCTCTGGAGTGCTGGGATTACAGGCATGTGCCACCACACCCAGCTTTTTATAATTTTTTTTGTTACCAGGGATCGAACTTGGGCCCCTGTGCTTGCAAGGTAGGTGCCAGAACCAGAGCTAAATCCCTAGCCCTTAGAGAAAATGAAGTATATAGCAAGCAACCATTAATCTTCTAATCAGATTTCTATTTCAATTAATTTTGTAGTCCACAGTATTATATAAAAAGAATCATACTACATCAACTTGCACATCTGATTTTTCAACAAGTTTTCAAGATTTCTCCATGCTGTTGCATCCTAGCAGCAATTCAATCCTTTTAACTGCTGAATATGTGGTATATGCTGTAACTACTCCACACTGTCTATTCTCCTGCTATACCTCTAGTGTTGGACTCTTAAGAATATCATGCTGTTAATAAAGACTTTTGCAGAAGTGGATATATGCTTTCATTTCACTTGGATAAAAATAATTAGAACTGGAATTACTATCTCATCATAGTTTATATCTATATGCCACTTAATAACTTTTATTGGCCATTCTTATACAGTATCTGAAAGTATTTGTTCCAAGTATTTTTTCTTTTTAATAAGGCTGTTACAAGAATTCCCCATTTTGCAAATATTTTGATGTTTATACATGTTGCAAATACCCCCCCCCAGTCTATGTCTTGGATATTTATTTTCCTATTAGTGTCCTTTGTTGAACATAAGCTTTTAATTTGAATAAAGCCCATTTTATCAATTGTTTTACAGTTAGTGCAGTGTTGAAGAAATACTACATAAAGTTATAAAGATATTGTACCATAACAACATCTAGAAACTTTTTTAATGTTTTAACTTTCATAAAGTCTATAATCATCTTCAATAAACTGATTTAAGACTTTTTACTATACTGGAGACTGATCTCAAGGCCTTTGCACTGAGCTACATCCTCTGCCTTATTTTTTTGACACAGGGTTTTTAGTTGCTGAGGTTGGGGGCTTGAACTTGCAATCTTGTCTCAACCTTCTAGAGCACTGGGGTGTGTACTATCACATCCACCTTATACTAAAGAAGCCAGACTCAGAATATTATAGTAATTTTTAAAGTACACAATAGATCTCTTCTGTGTGTGTGTGTGTGTGGGGGGCTAGGCTTCAAGAGCCCTAATGGGTACCTGAAACTGCAGGTAGTATTGATCCCTATAGTTTTTCCTATACAAATATGCCCATAACGTCTGATTTATAATCTTGGCACAGTAAGAAATTAACAATACTAATGAAATTGAACAATTTGTAATAAAATTACTAGCATTGGTATATTTTGAGGCCATTATTAAATAAATTAAGGGTTATGTGAAGACAAACACTATGATAACTGCAGTAGTCAATCTGATAGCCGGATACAGATGATACAGATGCTGAGTGACTAAGGGAGGACAGCTTACACAGCACAGATACAGTGAACAAAGTGATGATTTGTGTCTCAGGTAGGACACAGTGGGATGGGAGAGTTCATAACGCTACTCAGAATGAGCTGGGGATTTAGCTCAGTGGTTCTGCTGCCTGCCTTGCAAGAGCAAGGTCCTGAGTTCAATCCCTGGTACCCCCCCCCAAAAAAAGCATTGCTTATTTCTGAAAAATTTCTCTTAATATTTTCGGAGTATGGTTGACCATAGATTAATGAAATGGTAGCAAACTAACTACAGAAAAGGGAAGACTACAGTATATCTTATTTTCTTTCTGTAATAAAACCAAAATCAGAGTTTTATAATGATAATTAATCCTCAGGTACCTTTAAAAGGCTATAGGCACATGCATTTTAAAAATCTAACAGAAATGTAAGTTCTTAATAGAAAAGGGGAAGACATGTATATCTGGTACTGAGAATGTCATAGTAAAAATAAATAAAATGTTGATCCTAAGGTTTGTTGTACTTCATTTAAAAGAAAAATCATAATAAATTCTACTCACAAAGTTAAGGCTGGTTTAGAGAATCTTACTTTTATTTATGCTCTTTTGCATGCTCCTAGCTTATGTGGGATCCAAGTTTCCTTGGCTAAAATTACAGAATCCAGAAGGCAAAGTGTTTTTATAATGCTGTTTTAGATTCTATGAGCATTGAGGTACGAGGTAGGAGAGAAAAGGAATGGAAACACACATCCAGTATCTATATAATCTATCATGGGAGGAAAAGTAGGACAACTAGGATGAGCATGCACAGAAAGATGTGAATGACTTCAGCACCTACAGTGCATGTTACTGCAGCTATCAAACGCAAACCACAGTCCAGGAAATGGTAAAGTTACATTCTTTACTGCAGAAAAGACTATGACCTAGGATAAAAATAAATATTCAGATAGGCAAAGTTAAGTATTTGCCACTACTGTTCTTCACTAAAGAAACATTAAGAAGGATTTATTTCAATAAGAAAATACCCAAAGAACACTGATTTCATAAAAATTAATGAACTATGTGACTGTGGTAATTGTTGAGTGGGGAGAGGGTTGAGTTTTATGGATGGTTGTGTTTAAAACAAAAAGTAAAACTTGGGCAAAAGAAATACAAAGTTTAAGAACTGGAAATGAAAACTTAAAACTTTTTTTTTTCTTTTTTTAAATAGGGTCTCACTGCGTAGTTGAGACTGACCTGGAACTCACTATGCAGCCCAGGCTGGTCTGGAACTCACAGCAATCCTCCTGCCTCAGCCTCCCGAGTGCTGGGATTATAGGCGTGTGCCACCACACATGACTTAAAACTTTTTATGAGTACTAACTGTTTACACAGAATTCCAAAAGTACTCAGTTTTAGAGCTAATAAACACCCAGAAACGCTGATCAACTTTTGCAACATTCAGAAGTTAAGCACATTACTACTCCAGTGGTAAGCAACAGAAATGTAATAGAAAAAACACTCATGCACATTAGCAATAAAAATGGGGGTGGGGAGGCAGAACCAGCACTGTGGGAGGTTGAAGCAGGATGACTGCAAGTTAGAACCTAGTCTGGGTAATTTAGTAAGACCCTATTTCAAAATAAAAAAATTAAAAAGGGGCTGGGAATGTAGTTCTGCATAAAGGCCCTGGATTCAATCCCCAGTGTGTATGTGGGTGGGTGGGTGGGTCTCTAAGAAATGGTTTTTAAAAATGTATATTACTTCTATTAAAGAAAAACAAAATCACATTTGGAGGATTATAACTCTCACTATCTTTTCCCCTATTAATCTATATTTAATTCAATTTTTATATAAACATTTCAACAGTTTTCATCTGAATCTGGTAAATTTAACAAAATTAATGAAGGCTAGAGGTATAGCTCAGCAGTTTGTGCATTTGCCTAGCATGACTAGGCCCTACATTTGACTTCAATATCCCCCCAACAAAAACATAAATAAGTAAACAAAATTAATGTGAAACAGCAGAGAGTCAAACACAGTGAAAGTAATTTTGAACAATGAGATGACACTGGTCCTACTCAAAAGTTAAGACTTTACACAGCTACAGTAGTTAACATAGTGTGACAAATCAAACAGAGAACCCAGAAATGCCTAACAAATATAGGAATCTGATGCACGACAAAGGATAATATAGTTAGTTGTAGGGCAACTGGTTATTAATTTGTAAAAATATATTAGACCTCAACTCAGACTGAAATAGACAAGGTGTACAGTGATGCTAATAATACCTAATTTAAACTTAAATTTTGTAAAACAATATTACATACTATTTAGGCACATAAATATACTCGAAAACAAATGAGGGGCTGTATTATCTTAGACTGAGCTAGGTTAAATGCATTCCTTATAAGACAGAAAAGAATAAACAAATAGACTGGAGGAAAAGAAAAAGGTAATGATACATGAGACCCCCCACTGCCAAGCTCTCTTAGACGAATTTACAAGTAAATTTCAAAAGGCACAAAGAAAATGACTCAGAAAAACTGCCAAAACTACAATAATCAGAACATGAATTTACTTCAGGTAACAGAATAATCTGTACAGAGTTCCAGGCTTTCACTTTTCAACAAATGTTAGGTCTCTATAAACCAAGAGAAGGATCTTTTTAGTCTCAAGTGTCCTCACTATAAAACCGTCACAGTCTATATAGAACTAAGTCCTTTGCTGTGTTTTATTAAGTTTAGCTCTTTTAGGTTGCTGCTCACATATCCACAGTATATTAGAGGAAGGAAGTTTGTGGGACTCTCCAAAGCTGGCTACTGACAGCTAATTATATACCAAGACAGTTTCTCCTTTCAGTAATTATCAATTTAAAAAAATATACATGAGTATAAAACATAGTTCATGGTGTCCTTTTGCTTACATCATCCCATTTACTTCTGGTGGACCCTTCCTAGAATGGGACCTTAGGAAACCAGAAGAGGTATGTAAGAGTTTACATTTACACTTTATTTCTGGATTAAATGAAATTACATTTTCTTTCTCTGAGCCAAGAAAGATGAGAAAGAGGAAGAGCTGCAGAAACCAGTGTATCACTTTATCACTTTCTGATCACTGGACAGTGAGCAGGCACCATGAAGGCAGGAACTACATTCGTCTTGTTTGCCAACACATTTCCTAGAACCACACACATACTGGCACATACTGGATCTCAGTAAAGGTCTGTGAATTAATAAATGAATAATATTACAGTGCCAAGCAAAAAAACCCAATACATCTTAGGAAACATACTTGATGTTGGCCATGAAAAGTACCTGCCTTCTTTTAGTGAGGAGGATTTTAAATTTGTCAGAGTTTAGATAGCAAGAATGCTACATTTCTACAAAAAGAGACAATTGGCCCCACTAACTGACGCAGCCCTCAGCTGTATCTTTACCTTGATTCGTGAACTGGGATTCAACATGATGTATTTAATAGAACCTTGGATATTCTCTGTCCAGGAGACGAGCCAAGTTACTTTGTTATCATGTCTGACCTCTTTCCACTTATGTCCTGGAGGAGGAGAAGGAACCTTGGCATCTCTGAAAGTAACCAAATGGGATGCAGGGAAACAAAAGAGAAGTGAGAACAAATTTCACTTTTCTTGACCCAAAGTAGACACATCTGCTCATTGTGTATTTCCACATTTTCTGGTCACTAGTCAATGCTAAATACCACATGGAGACCTGTGCATGTAAACACAATGCTGCTCCTATACATCTCCATTCCAGACAGCCCTCTCTCACTAGGAGACAGTACCCACATCCCTACACCTGCCCAGGGAAGGGCTGTACTCACTTGCTGCAGTTTATGATGATGTCCTCAGGCAGGATCCTCCGCTTCAGCATGCCCATCTTGGGGTGGTTGCCCCGACCACGGAACAGCCCTGGGGGCTCTATCTTGAAGTTAGCGATCCTCTCTCTGTGGTTATCCATAATACAGAAGCCATACTCTTTCAGTAATTTTTCATTTTCCTCTTTGATTTTCTGAAATACGGCAAGAAAGTACTCGAAATGGATTGAAACTGCTGTTCTCTATTTATCTGTTTTTATCTCTGTGCGAGAATGGGTCAAGGTGAAGTCTAATAATCACCACAAAATGAATTCAAAGAAAGAGAACGTCTAGTGGATTTTTCATATTTACATACACTAACATTCCCCAAAAGATCTGATCTATCTAGAAGAAATGACACCAGCTCCAGATTCAAAATGGATTTTCATTTATTAAAGGATGTTTCCTTACGAATGTTATCTGGGTATTTCTAAATGTAACTTTAAAACTTCACACCATTTCTGTGAGTAGTATAAAATAGGGTAGAGAACAGTTTCTGAAAGACAACAGCTTTAGAGCTAACTGAATAGCATTTCACTTGGGTTTTTCAACCCAGGCAAAACCATCTTGGATTTTTACCTAGGTATTTGAATATACAAACTTCATACTTAGTGATCTTTGCTATAACAAGAAAAAGGGTGGGAGGCTTTTCAGCCTCCTCATCCTGACAACTCTTCTCCATCTGACATGCCGATCTGATGACCAAGTCCTGCTCCCTTTGACAGGGGCTCTATCAAGATAATGTTTATAAGTGCTTCTCTTTCTGGATTATTATTCTAAGAACAAAGCTCTAAAGTGGTCTTTAAGTTTAAAAGCATGCCTGAAGGAAATAATACACTAATTTGGAAAACCAGGGACTGAAAAGTCTGATATAGTTATAACTTAGTTAATATTTTAAAGTTTGGCTTAAAGCAAATATTAAATGGCCTAAATTATGTAAACACAAAAGTTCTTTGGCTGGGTGTGGTGCTCCATGTCTGTACCTGCAGCACTGGGAGGCTGAGGCAGAGGATCACCAAGACCAGCCTGGACTACATGGTAAGACCCTACCTCAAAAAGCCAAAAAAGTTCTTTAAAGTACTGAAACTACAGGCATTAAATAAATTCTAGCCTGGATTCTTCTAGATCAGGGGGTAGGCAACTTTTTAACTATAGTACATTAGGATGGAGGACCATGCTTGTGAGTCTGTTTCAACTATTCATATCTGCCACTGCTGCATAAAAGCAGCCACAGTGAATGTTTGTGTTCAGATTAAAAGATTTATAAAAACAGGCAGCCTGTGCGGGGGGGAACATACGAGCTTCACCAATGAGGATGGTCAAGACTGGGAGAAGGATAAGCATGCCTAGATTGTAGGGTAAAAGAGGTTCAAATAGGGAGGAACATAGCCAGTATAATTTCATCTATCTTAATTCTTAGTATCTAGTAGCCACTGTGGGACAGATCTGCCCATCCTCAAATACTGTGTTAGTGGAGTCACTAACTGGTTTTAGGTCAGTAAAACGCCAGGGTTCTCACAGTGAGCTACTGAACAAAGGACTTACTCAAAAGTAAAACCCTTAAAAAAAATTCTAGACTTTACTAGTCAGCAATTCCTAAATCTTTAGTACAGAACAATGTAAAATTACTGAAGTCAATGTTGTGTCATAAGCACCAAGAAGTACATTAAATGAATAGTCACTGTTCTGTGATTTTCTAGATGTTTAATAAATCCTGTAGTACCAATTTTTCTTCTTTGCTCATCTGTTTCCGAGCTTCCGACTGGGCTTTGAAATACTGGCTCATCTGAGTAAAATCACATTTGCTTAGGTTGGTGATAGTATTCTTCTCTTCATTAGTCATTTCCTAGTCAAAAGAAAAGGAGAGACAAAAGAAGACTATAAGCACACTAACAAGTCCCTCAGGTTTCTTTGCAATTATAGTAAAGCATCGTTTTTTTCAGTCAAAGGTACACAGAAAGGTAATCTAAATTTAGTGATTTTATTCTTTAATAAAATATATATTTAACATAAAAATCCTTTAAATGACTTATCACTGACAAAAATTACTCTTACATAGTCTGTTGAACTCCTTGGCAAATTGCCACAAATGCCCAGGGATATGAATACCGTCTGAGAACTCGAATATATATCAAATATTTAAGTAACAATATTTTATAAACTTGTTCTTAGAAACGTAACTTCTGTTTTACACACTTACTAAATCTGATTTTCCAAGCTAGCTGAGAAGATAAATTTTAGTTTAGCCTTGATCCACATTATTCAAATTGACGAGATTTTTAAAAACTCACCTAGGCATATATAGCATATATGATCTCATGAGCAGAAATTATGTAAAGCAAATAAGCAAGAACCAAAACAGAATGGTAAATCAGATTAACATCTCTTGGTACAACAGCAGAGAGAAGGAATTCCTACAGAGACCATTGTCCTTCGTTCAATTAGGACTAATCTGATGAACCTCTTCCTATAGTCTTATGATAGTGAGAGGAAAGAAATACAAGAGGGCCGGGGATTTAGCTCAATGGATCTGCCACCTGCCTTGCAAGTCAAGGTCCCGAGTTTGATCTGTGGTACAAAGGAAAAAAAAAAAAAAACTCTTGTTGGATAGAAACTTCTTATAATATAGTAACTCTTTTATTACAGAATTGGGAACTCAAATCCTTGCCATTGCTAGGTAAGCACTTAACCACTGAGCTATATCCCTAGCTCTTAAACAACTTGTAATATAATAAAATTGTATTTTATATCAGATTTTGTTTGTAAAATTATAGTTTATATTTGGTATTTGATCAACATTTTTGCAAGCTATTAGGATATTAATATACGGGCCACAATACCTTTCTCCAATCTTTAAAGAAATTTTTCCTAAATATTTCCTTAGTAGTATATTCATGGTCGAGCATTTTTGCAAAGAATGTAGCTATTTCTTCTGCTTTGGGGCTCAGCTTCATGACTTTACCTAGAGGAGAAAGTAGTTAACAAAAGTGAGATGTAGTACTGATGTTCTAAGTATAAATACTGAGTGCCAGAGTCCTCTTTAATAATGGGTTACCTTCCCAAGGTATACAAAGTCTGGTGACACACAGTTATACCAACAACTACAACAAAGACAACATACTGATTTATATCTACTTGAATAAATTCTCCTTCTCTTCAGCAGATATTTACCTGGGTCATTCTTTGGAGACTATGCCAGTTAATTGTTCCCAGGTGCCTGCTCAGGTCAGGGATGACCTGGGGAAGGCCCAGCCACTCTTCCTTTTCCTTTCAGCAGGTGGGGTCCTTTATACCTCTTCAATGGTTTTTAAAAATCAAATCCTCAGAGGGACTCCTGCCACTGCTAAGCTAAGCAGCTTCTGTTCAAGAAGGGGAGGAAGGGATAGGGCAGGGAGCGGAAGAAAGGAATTGTGGGGAAAAGAAATAGGCATCTTTTTTCTTCAAAGTTAGGTGGGTGGAATATGAAATTAAAAAAAAAAAAATCCACAGCAGGGAAGCCCAGATTTCCCATCTGAAAAGCCTAAGACCTTCCTATACATCAGAGTGTGGTCTGCAGGCCAAAAGCATCAGGACCACAAGGGAACAAGTCAAATACAGCACTGTGGGCTCAGCTCTAAAGCTAATGAATCATAACTGTACACTAGTTAGAAACACACAACTCTGAAATATAGGTATATGGTACTGCCTCTTTGAGAATAGGATTCATCCACCAGGATGGCTGGGGTTCCTGGCAGCATGCAAGAGTTTCTGTGAAAGCAGCTCTAAAGGAGCCCTGATACTTCACAACAAAAAGTGCTAACTGGTAAAGAAAACCTGGATGGAGCTTTATGTACCTTAATTTAAAAAGTAACAAAAGGAAAGTACAGTACATGGGGGGTTTAATCTACTTTCCAGAGAATACTTACTTTAAGCATATTATGATCAATTTCCATTTTTTTTTCCTTTGAAAATACTATTTTTACATCATGACCTAGAACCAAGCCATGCCATAATAATGGCATTTGACTATATTTCAAATGAGGTGAAATATAATTCTACTGCCTTACTATTATATAGGCATTATTCAAAAAAAGAATTCATTCATTATAGAAACCTAAAATTTAACTAGAAATGCATCTATTACAAAATTTATAAGACATTTCATCTCATGATAGTAGGAAAGCTATCATCCCTAACAAGGAATTAAGAGAATTATCCAACAAAATTGAAACCCCAAATAGAACCTGCTTGGAAGTCATAATTAAAAAGGTCAACAGGTGGCGCATCTTCTCTTTCTCAACCGCCCTCAAGCTTTTGCTTTGGAAGAAAAACACTTTGGGGAAGATAAACTAGTTTTATTTTTATTTATTATTATTATTATTTGATCCCGGGGATCGAGCTTGGGATCTTGCGCTTGCGAAGCAGGTGGCAGAACCACTGAGCCAAATTCCTGGCCCAACACAAGCTAGTTTTAGAGGCTTCCAGGTCTTTTCTAGAACTCCCCTCGACTCAGGCTTGAACCAGAGTTACCAGTAAAAACTGTAACATGCTTCCAAATATAAAGGAAAATTAACTATAATAAATGGCAAGAAAATGTAAACTATTCCCCAGCATGTTTTATATAAACCAGGTATTAACAGTGTTTGGAAAAAAAAAAATTGAGACTTTCTGAATTGTTTTACAGAATTATTTCCCAAATGAAGCAATTTTGACTTGTCTCTTTCTAAACGAGCACCAAAAAAATGAAATAGCTCCCTGCAGCTGGGGGGAGGGGGATGACTTGAAAGTTCCTGGCAATGGTAGTACTTTGTGGAAAAGGCAGAGCTCCAGGGAAAGGAAACTGCTGAATCAGAGCTGAAAATGAAGGTCCTTAGCACAGACAGCAATTCACAGTTTCAGCAAGCCCCCACCTCTCTGGCAGGTTTGAAAGGAAATCTGAGAATTCTCTCCAGAGAGTGGGCAGCTCTTACATTTATCAGTTTGGACTATTAAGTCAAATACTCTAGACTTAGTGCACAGTGGGAGTTTGCACTGTAAAAAAACCCGGAGGGAAGGTCAAGAGAGAAAATGCTACAGCCCCGGAGCTGGAGCTGCTATCATGGAGAACTAAGCAATAATGGGGTAAACAAACCATGGTGACCAGTGAAATGGCCCAGGCTTCAGCTTCCTATCTTGGAAAGTAAAAGAAACCCCAAACTAGGAGATCTGGCTTTCCTGACAATCTGGAATCACAAAGTGTGGCTTTTCCAGTTGAGATCAGTAAAGCTCTTAGCACAGACTAGAGTTATAGAATACCTACATTTTTACAATAGCCTTTGCAGGAGGAATTTTACCTTCAAGGAGTCTCCTAGAATGACCCAATGTGAGAGCTGCAGGAACTGTCCTATGCTCTCTGCTTAACATAAGTCAAACTGCTTATCTGATGTAAGGATTTGCCATTGATAACGTAAGGGTCTTATTTTGCTGCAAACTCCGTAAGATCAGATATTGAGTGAGCAATACTATCAACTGTTGGGTCTTTGTGCCTGAACACAGACAAATTCAATACATACATCTTTTGAAAAAATAAATTCTGACTTTTAAGTTTGACACTGCTCACCGACAGACTAGCCCTTATTCAAAATGTTTGGAACTAAAAGTGTTTAAGATTTGGAGTTCTTTTTTCCTCCGTTGGGGGGGTGGTACCAGGGATCGAACTCAGGACTTTGCACTTGCAAGGCAGGTGGCAGAACCACTGCCCTCCTCCATATTCTTGAATATTTGTATACACACGTGATCTAAATGATGGTACCCAAGTCTAAATATGAAATTCCTTTGTTTCATATAAACCATATATATATATCATAAAGGTAATTTTACATAGCACTTTAAATAATGTTGGGCAAGAAACAAAATTTCATTTGGTGTGGATATTGCTCAAAAATTTTTAGATTTGTAGCATCTAGATTTTGTATCTGGGGTGCATGATCTATGTACTACCTAGACCTGGAGGCATCTGTGGCCGTGATGACACTGTGTATGGACAAAATGATGCACCAGAGCTCTTGAGTGTTTGCCATTAATCTATTGATAGTTGTCCTGCCCAGCATTTCTCAACATTTGGTCAGTAGGCCAATTAAATGGGTGCAGATCCACTCTGGTGAATTTTAAAAACACAAAAGGGTTTGAAAAACAATGGTCTGGTCATTTCTGAATAACTCTTAGAATGAGGAAAATCAGATGAACATTACCATTTACAAACTATAATACCAACAGAGAGCAGAACAAAGGCTACACTCAAAAATCCTTCAACCTAAGGATAGAAATGTCAGTGAGCTGCAACAGACAAGTCCAAGGTTTCTCAAAGACCCATACAGGGCATTTCTTCAAAGCAGCTCATCAGTCTTGACTATACTGTAAGTCTCCAACTTAAAAACGAGTTCTGTCCTGGGAGTACATTCATAAATCAGATTCATTTTTAACCTAACAGAATGAGTCTTATACAGTACACCTGTGAAAATTCACAACTAAAATTTTTCTAGGTTGACGACTTACTGTATACCTGCATCAAAGGCAGAGTTGCACTATGTAGAGTGAAAGATTCTAGCTACTCTTAACTAGATGTTGATGGCAGACTAATTATCGCTAGCACTATTCCTAGCAATAAGCAGCTTGTACTGCATTATTATAACTAAAAATACTACCATTCAAGTGAGGCTTTTAGTAGCTCCTTAAATAGGAAGTTCTGATAAGAACTTTTAGCTGTGGACCATGGTTTGTGATCCATTGTTATGGTTTGTATCTAGTCACTCCTTGAAAGCCTACGTGCTCAGAGGCAAGGCTTTTGGGAGGAGAGCGGGTTGTGAGGGTGTGATACTCAACAGTAGATTAGGTCCACTGCTGAGTTTATAGCTAAATGTTATGTTGGGAGCTGAAGCCTGGTTGCAGGTGTGTCACAGGGGGCATGGCCTGAAAGGATGTATTTCCCTCCAACTCTTCCCTTCTCTCCTCCCTGCCAGACATTGCTTGAGCAGCTCTCCTCCACCATTCACCTCTGCGCCATATGTTGTACTTCCTTGGAGCCAGCTGACAATGGACTGTAACACAGGCAAAAACAAACCTCTCCATCTCAGCTGTCAACCATTTTGTCCAGCAATGAGGGAAGTAACTGAGAGTAAAGTACATGGATTTTTTGGGGGGGGGATTATGTAGATAAGACATTAACAATCCCTTTCTCATGGTACTTTTTCAGTAGCAAATGGGCCTTTAAGAGTTAAGGATTCTTCCTCATTTTCCGTTGCTAAATAGAAGCAGACTGTTTTCATGGCCAAGAACCAGGTAACCTTGGAACAACTCACCATCATAGTAAAACTTGACACTTTCTGGAAGAGGCTCATATGGTGGTGCAAATACAGGACCTTTATGTTCTAGGAATTTCCACTTGATGCCTTCAGGATAGCGTTCTTCTTCCCACCTTTCAAAGACAAGAGACAACCTCATTTAGTGACCATCTTGACTAATACAGAGATCACCACTTGTCAAATGGCAAAATAATTATCTGCTCAATTGACTGGTATTCTCTCAAGGCCTAGATCAAAGTAACTACTCTTTCAGTCAAGTGAATGGGGGAAAAATCCACTTTAATAGCTCCATTCAATGATAAAGGATAGGGCCCCGGATTTAGCTCAGCAGTTCGGTGGCCTGCCTTGCAAGCGCAAGGACCGAGTTCAATCCCCGGTACCAAAAAAAATAAAAAAATCAAAACAAAGATACAGGATAGAAGCTGGGCGTGGTGGCACACGCCTATAATCCCAGCAGTCGGGAGGCTGAGACAGGAGGATCGACCAGCCTGGGCTACACAGTGAGTTCCAGAGCAGTCTGAACTACATAGTGAGACCCTGTCTCAAAAAACAAAAAACAAAACAAAAT